CTCTGTACGCTCAGTTTTTTGGCTAATACTGTCAGCCAAAAGTAACAGAAGTAGGGATTAAGGATGGTAGTTTAGGATAAATTTTGGCTCTAGGGCTCTGTTTCTCTTTTGCAGTGCTCTTCATCTCGAGTCTTTTGTGCCACATTCGAAATTCACAAAAAGTCAATAATTAAGCTGAGAAATTACCCAATTTCTGTCTTACTGTGGCATGTTTATACTGATATCTTGTTCTGTTAGGATCTTGTCTTACATGTGTTGTGGTGGCTGATCTGTAATTCTTAAAAGTTCAGAAGTCTAAAATTTGTAGTAATTATTGAAAGCATCTTTTGAATTCATAATGGTCTGGTTGCTTAAAAAGCCCCACCCCTTACCTTGAAGTTTTGTATTGATCTTTTGCTATGCTAGTATTCTTTGAAAATTTGTGAAGGAAGGGAATTTACTAGCATTCAAGAAATTCTGATTTCTCCAGTGTTGGTGAATTTGGTTTTCATTAACATGATGCCAAAAAATTATCAGCCATGCAGGACTCCCTTCTATTAAAGAAAACTGCATTACCAGGGAGTTTTGTGACAGCTTGATTCAAATGTACATTTTTACACTACTTAAGCATATAATACGATTTTGGCCATTTTTTCTTCAAAAGAACATGAACATAGAAGTATGCTTCCTTCAATTTTGTCCAACCAGATTGGTATTTCTTGAAATACATAAGCTGTGCCATGGTAGCTTCAAAAGAAAACAAGTTATGTTTTGTTAAAACAAAGACAATATAAAGTAATGTTGAAAACAGGAAAGAACAAGTTCTTTACAGCAAATTGGAAAATGCAAACCAGCTTCCATTCTCAGTTTTAATTAAGTTTTTAAAGCTGAAGCATGCTTTCAAAGGGACTCATAGTCTCTGAAATACTGAATTTTTGAGGATAAAACTTGCAGTGGCATGGAGAAGTTCACTTACCACAACTTGTTTCAAAATCGCAGTGCACATTTCACCCCTTTTGCTGAAGACGTGTTTGCATATGTCTTTAAATATATAAAATACCTGATAAGTTAGTAAGCCCTCTTGTATACAACTGAGTTTATAATTTGCTGGCACTCTTCTGCTATCAGAGCCTGAAAGCTCAGTCTAGCTGACGCTGCGCTTACATGTGCGAAACAGTTCATATGAACCTGCAGGATTTTTTAGTGAGGGGAAAAATGTTATATTTTTCAGACACCTATCCATTGATCATCATTTAACACGTGTAGTATTGATTAAATTATAGAATTACTTAAGAAAGCCCATATAAAATGTATTTCACTGTTCTAGTAAGTCTTAAGTGAGAATTACTGAAGTGTAAAATAATATAGTGCCTTTAATATAGGTAGACTAAAAGCTTATCGTATTCAAATTTTAGGCAAGAAATACACTTACCACTAGAATTTGGCCTCTAAGATGTCATTATTCTCCTGGGGGAAAAAAAAAAAATCATTTTTCAAATAGGAAAGAAATGTATCTGGCTTCAGCTTTTCTAGCTACGCACAGTTTAATGCAAATCTCTGCAGGTTGGAAGCCATGGGAAGCTTACTGAATCTGGCCCTAAATTTATTTTTCTTTTTTTCCCAACAGGAATCAATCCAACTACAGCTTTCAAGTTTTCCTAGCTTGCAAGAAGATGATAAATGTAGTAAAGATGACTCCGAGAAAGAAAAAGAGAAGGATAAAAATAAAGAAAAAGATAAAAACAGTGAAAAAAACAAGATCAGAATGTTATCAAAAGGTGAACTTAAAATATTTAAATTGCTATAATTACTGTTATAAAAAGCATTGTATGTTTTTATAAGCATGCATTTCTTTCTTTGTGTATAAATACACAGTAGAAGTGTTTTCATACATTGAGAAAATTCAGAACCTGAACTGTGTATGCATGAGACTGTTTTTCGTACAAACATCAGGCTTTGAAAGTGAAGAAACCTTCCAAACTGAGGTTTGGTATTAAAGGTTATTAATTTTCTTTAATGTAAAATCATTCTTCTGAATACTTAACCGTGTTGGGATAAACACATATATATGTAAATATATGTGTGATTATATAATAAGATAAATGTAAGACTGTAATACACTTTTTTTTCCCCATTATTGATAATATATTGGCATGTCACTTGTGCAATGTCGGCAGTAGAGAGTAATCCTTTTCACTATTGCTCCTCTCTCATGGAGAATGTCTCTTAAATGCTGTAAGGAAACCCATCCATGGCCTTTAACCCGCATTGCAATCTACTATTATCACCTGCTAAGACTTCTTCAGAAAAGATCTTGTATCTAAATTGGGTATTTTTTTAAAAATCTTTTTATTAATCCATGCTATAAAATTGCAGTGTAATCTCTCAAAAATAATTGTTACCTACCTGGGTGTGGATCCGCAGCTGGTGTGAATTGTCAGTTGGCTTCAATGGAGCTCTCACAGTTCACGCCAGCTTGAGGATCTGTGTGTACTTTTGAGTCAGGCGATATAGCAGCGCTGAAAAATTAATTCTGACTACTGTCACGCATCCCTATTACCCGCCCACTCTCGGCCGTCACTGGATTTCAGTCTGTTAATGCAAATAGAATTCCCACTGGCACAATGCCTCATTTGCTGTGTGTACAGCATATATTAAGCGATGCAAAGAGACATTGATGAATACAACTTTTTTTTTTCATTTTCTTAGATTTTATTTAGTAGTTTAAAGGAAGAACTTGGCAGGGTCTTGAGTGGCATCGAAGGTTTGCCATGATTTTCAAGTGACCAGCAGTTTCTGCTGGTGTCTAGTTTTGGTGCTACGCTCTCAGTAGAATGGTACAGAGGAACCGTGAATGTCCACCCGATGCTTCCAAACATAGATCTTTCTTGGCTGAACTCCAGATGAACATTTTCTTTCAGACTATATGCTTTCAGTTTGTTGCTGGAAAATGGGTTTTGATTTATCGCATAGCTTAATCGTAACTGTTGAAATGAAATAAATGGGGGGGGTGTTTGTTTTTATTTTTCAGATTGCAGTCAAGAGTATACAGACTCAACAGGCATAGACTTGCATGAGTTTCTCATTAACACATTAAAGAATAACCCCAGGTAGGTATTTTCTGCATTAGAGCTGGCACTCCTGAAATTAAAGCTGGCAGTCTTCAAGTTCCCATAACCATACACTGTGTTTTATTATTTCTGGAGATGGTTATGAGGGAAAATGTAAAAGAGGTAGGCTGTTAACTGAGCAAAAAGCTATAAAAAGTCATTGACTTCTCCTCCCCCGTCCAGTCACCCATTGCTTAATTTCACCTTCAGCAACATCTGGTTTTTGTCCTTACCTTCTTGCATATAGCTCTACATGATGTTAGCAGTAATATATTATAACCATTGCAGTTGGAGATTTGTATATGAATATAAAGTAGCTTTCTTTTGGCAGTGCTATACACAATTAAAATCCTGTGCACAATGCCAAATTCTGCTCTCAGTATTCCCGTAGTTTTCATTTGGAGCAACAAGCTTATCTCATGATTAAATTTGCCTTTAAATGTCTAAGGAAGGATCTGTAACATTTTTATATGTTGTGATTTTCAACATTCATTTCAATTGAATCTGTTTAAATAGCTACCACAGAATCCTGCAATTATAGGAGAACGAGGAATAATTGGGTACCTAACGGCTTGCATAACCTCCTGTATAGATGACGGAAGGTCCTTGAATTGTTTTATCTGCACAAAATGAGAAAGTTCAAAAGAAGTAAGGAGTGATGGACTCTGTCAAGCTTAGAAAAAAATGTGCGTCTGGAAATATGCTGGGGAAATTTTTGAATGTTTTTGGCAGGAGGTGGGCAGCGAAGGGAACATCTGAGACCTTCCAGTTGAAAACAGAGCATCTTGACTGAGAAATGCTGCGGCATTGCCTCCTGGGAGCCATAGTTCAAAGGCGTTGTTCTCCATTGTGTTCTCTAGCTAGATGAGTTAGAGCCCAGTCTTCTCACCTGCAGATCAATGCCTCATGGAAGATACGTTTCAGACAAAATGTTGAAAACTTCTGTGGGTAGCTGCTCTTCTCATGAAAGAGCTATGTTAGCTGGAAGTCTCATTTTCCATCAAAAAAAAAAGGGTGAAAAAGGACCAAAGTTATCCATAGCAGTCAAAGTCGTCTTATGCAAGGTGTTGATCACAGCCTGGTGTGGCTGGAAGCACTCTCAGGCCATAGTTGAGCTCAAGGAAGAGCTAAATCTGTCACGTATGCCAGCGAAGGTGCGGCAAAGCAGGCTGCAATCTTCTCCAGATGTGCCAGAGCAAAGCATGTTTCATTTTTAATCAAGATGGCTGACAACGCTTGCAAAATTGCCCAGCAAACATTGATACGTTCATTTTTTTAATCTAAAATGTCTATTGGTAGTTGATGCTACAAATCCTTGCATTTCTTTTTGACAGGGACAGAATGATACTCCTGAAAATGGAACAGGAAATTATTGATTTTATTAGTGACAACAAGTAAGTTGAGTTCCATGCTTGGTTATTAAGTCACGTGTGCATGTAGCAATGCGAGCTGTGTGAGGGATACACTCATATGGGCCACAGTACTCCTGAGCGCTGTTACTGGCACACTGCAAGATCAGGCTTTTATCTCCTGACACATGGTGGTACTGCTTAAAATACAGTAGACGTAAAAGAAAACCTTTTGCGTTTCATTGCATCATAATTGCACTGGCCCTGCTCATTTAGGTCCAAAAAATATAATTAAAGCTTTCGGTGCAGAGGGTGATCAAATATGCTACCTCACGGGTATCCCCCTGTGCTATGTTATTCTAATGCATTGGAAAATAAAACTGGACTTGGGTGGAGGGATTCTTGCTACCGCATGCTCTTTATAATAAAATGTTTTTTGCAGCTTTAAAAAAATAGAGAGTCAGAATAGCAGCAGAGGAAGAAATTATGCTGACAGGAAATAAGCATTTTGTCAGTAAGAGAATAAAAAAAGGAGTATTTGCTAAACTAGATCTTTCCAGCATCACCCTGCATCTGACCTTTGGGAGAAAGGCAGAAAGCTGTTGCCAGTATCTCAGTAAATCTGCAGGATTGTTTGTGCGGGGACCGTGACTGCGTGTGCAGGGTCGGAGGATGCGTTCTTCCTAATACACAGGATACTCAGTAGATACCATGAAGCATGGGCTTTATTTGTCCAAATGTAGCACATGGAAATGTGCTTATAAGAAACTCTAAAAAGAATTCCTTTCTTTTTTCTGCCTTCTTGTAGCAAACATTTATATGTAAATGCACAAAGGAGAAGTTTTCGGTTAGATTTCTGTCCACTGAATTACTGAATGTATTGCTATTTTCATTTAATTATAGCTCGGAGGGAAACGTAATCATCAATGTGATTTGTTTTGGTTTTTTCCAGTAATCACTACAAAAAGTTCCCTCAGATGTCGTCGTATCAGAGGATGTTAGTGCACAGAGTGGCAGCTTACTTTGGAATGGATCACAATGTGGATCAGACTGGAAAATCTGTAATTATCAACAAGACCAGCAATACAAGAATGTAAGTAGCAACAGTATTGTGTTTTTCCTTGTTCCCTTTCACAAGAGCTGGTTTGTACCATGACTACATGGTGTTTTTTAAATTTTTTTTTTTAAATTTTATTTTTGTAGCAAGAGTGAGTGCTGTTTATTGCTTTCTAGGGTGGGAGGGGAGGACAGGGCTTGCATTGTGAGGTTATTTAAGGATATAAAGATGCGTAAGGAGAAATAAACTCCATTTGTCTCTTGCAAGAAACTTAACACAGTATCTTGGAATGTTACTTTCCCTGACTCCTTAGTGCCACCAATTTGCTACAGAAATGAGCTCGTTGCTTTACATGTCACCTGATACCATACAGCTATATTCCTAAATAACCCAAACATATTTGGAAGATTGCCTCTTCCCTTGTTCTGGCTCTGCCTGCTTAGAGAGTCATTGTCTGCCCAACTGGATTATTTAGGATTTGGTTCCCCTCCACCACCTGCCACCATTCATTCCCTCTTCCTCCTCTTCTCCCCTCCTGGTTCCACTTTATTTTCTCTTCAAATCTCTTTGTTTGACCACAGAGTTTTTGTGGGATATAAATTCCTTCTAATGGTTCAAATGCATTGCAAAATTCCTGGTAGGTTAAACTTGTGCTGGCATGCTTTATGCTCTCCTCCATGAACCTGTATAAAGCTAGCAAAAGCTTGATATGAAGTTCCTTGGCTAATTCAGCAAAGATGCAGTCGTGTGTCATTGCCTAATCAGCATCACTTGTGCTGTCGAGTGCCACATCTGTATTAACCATCATGATACACTAGCCCTCCTCTCCCTATTTACCTATAAACTACATAATGAAGAGGAAGTAATTACAACTGCGTAATGAAGTTTTGGTATCTGGTATTGCAATAAGAAAGCCCCATTTGAAAATTATGTACTTCCTGTATTCAATTATTAGGAGGAAAAAAAAAAGCATTTATTTCATTTACATATCCAGTAGTTAGGTGATTTACGTAGATGCAGTTGCAGAGAGGTTTGGTTTTTTTTTTTTAATGTTATTAGCCTCTCCTGTAAAAGGCTAGAGGGGCTACCTAATTTTGCAAGATCCAAACATGAGCCAAACACATTGGTATTTGTTATTTGACTGAGCTCTAAAAATCTCCCATGTGCGTGAAATAAATTTAAGATCACGGACAATTTATTTTAAATCCTTTTCGTGGGCTGCCCCTGAGATACTTGGGTATCTGTAAAACAACAGTTAGACATTAATGTTTGTGAAGGTTTGAATAAAGCATGCACTAACAGTCTGATTTTCAGAAGTCAAGAGAATACAGTAGCTTGATAAAACTAACAGTCAGGCTGCTAAGGCTTAGCCTCAGGGTCTGGTAATACCTGCCCCTGTGCAAGGGCTATGTTTGGGTATGAATAAGAAAAAGCTGGGTATGCAGCAAACTGGTATTCTTTCTGAGCTGTAAATGAGAAAAAAAAAAAAAAGTAGTCTCTTAAACAAAACACAATTAATCATATTTGAATGCTTTTTAGGCACTCGTCTCTTTTTACAGTTCTCCCTTTTCCCTTCACATCTGTGTCACCTCTGTAGCGCACCAACTGCTACAGATCTCTCCTCGCAGCGTTGCCTTCTGCTAGTTGATAATGTCAGAATATCGCATTAATATCTGATAATGCCTTGCTCGGTTGCGTGGCTGTGCATCGCAGAGATGGGTAGCACTGGAAGCGCTGTTAGAAACGCTTGCACAGTGCTTTTGGAGAGGACACTGAAGTCGTCTTCAACAGTCAAAACTCTGTCGGAGTGCTCTGGTGAAGCTGTGGCTTCTTGTGTGGTGGGAATGAGCAAGCAAGGCTGTACCAGGCATGAACTGGTATCCTTGTGAGCAAGCTCAGCAGGCAGGATGTTGCAGGGGTATAATGGATCGAAGGACCCTTTCAGCTGTGGTCTTGCAAGCTGGAGGTGAGGCACGGAGCCAGACAAATTGGTTCTGACGCCATTCCTGTGTTGATCGTACAGAAATAAACACAGGACTTTGCCTCTCTGTTGACTGTGGGTACAGCTGTTTTGTAAGCACCACACAAACTGCAGATTTCTTCCCTTCTGCAGTGATTTGATGGTAGGTAACTGGATTATATGAAGCTCGTATTGCATCATGGTGCTTCTACTGTGTTATTTACATTATTTTGATACTGCTGTAAAATAAAGCTTTGTAGAAGTAGCTGTTTCTTTTCATAACTGGAGGAGATGGCATGTTTTTTTAAAACATCCCTGGCTCTGACAGAAAATAAATTGTTATCCAGCTTGAATAAGGGCTGATGAGATTTTATTATCCGCAGCAAATACTGTGTAAGTTCCACATCTGAAAGCGTCTGATGTGATTTCATGTGTTCTGCGTTTCGGTACTCTCAGAGGAGACAATTTTGTGCGGTTCAGAATCAACACCAAATACTGGGAATGTGTTGACTCTATTAATTACTAGTTGGATGGTATCCAGAATACCGGAGAAGCTGGAGAGCGGCTGAAACACTGTTCAGCATGGTTATGCTGTGCTGTAAGCCTGAGCCTTGATAGTTTTATGCGAATTTATGGAGTGGCCCCACAGACAGATATTCTGAAGACTTGCGTTTTGACAATAAATTATCTCTTTATGGCATATGGTTTCCAAAGTACTTTAGCTGCATACTGTGGAGAGGGAAGAATATTGTTGCATGCTCAAGAATTCATAAATTCTGCTCTGGCTGTTACTTCTGTGTGTGTGTGTACCTGCTTGCGAAGAGCGTATGACTGCGGAGTCACCGTGTGGGCTTGAACAAGCACTGTGTGGCTTATTTCTCTGGCCAAGTGAGGGTTCTAGTCACATCTCTGCTCACAGTTGCAGGTGATGAGTTGTTCCCTGGCTCCAGGCAATGAGGTGCATTTATTCTGTTCAGCAGATATCTCTTGTTCTTGCTGCCCACGGGTGCTTTGGAGGCACAAATGTCAGGAGAGTTAATGGCTTTCAGATGAATGGGCTGGTTGGGAAAATCTGGTAACAATGCTACCTTAGAAGTGCTGTGGTATGAAGTAGGGTCTGTCAAACAGGGCACTAGGGTATGAATGGAGTGGATGGGGGCATTTAATTACTTTCATCAGTTGGCCATCTTAGGGCAACACATATCCACTTCTGTGTACCTGTACCTATGAAAAAATAGCTACTTTTTGAGGGCTTGGAATTTAAGAAAGTGCTTGTTGAAGAGGTTGCAGCTGGAAGGAGGGCTGTACCTTGTCTGGTCAACCGTGCTGCTTTACAGAAAGAGGAAGATGATGGTAAAAATGCACTAGGACTTGAATCTCTCTGGGATTGCAATCCTGGAGCTTTAATCAACTCTCAGTGAAGTCTCTTAAATACAGTCACACCATAATGACAATTTTGCAGTTTGAAGACCATTTATGATGAGGAGCTTAATCTAAGGTGCTTTTTTTTTTTTGTAAATTTTATTGGAATGTAAACAAGTCACACTATTCTTGAAGCTTTTTTATGAAATGAAATTTTAAAACACAGAGATATGACCTCAACTACCCAAATGTTTGTTAGCCTTCATAAAGTTAAGTCTCTGTACTCTAGCTCTCATTACAGAATAGCAGATTTTAAAAACAAATTATCTTTCCATATGGCTTTTGAAATTAAGACTAGGTTAAAAAGGAAGAACTTTGAAAAATAAATATAATTTTTCATGCTCTAATACCTTACAAAGTCCTGCCTAACTAAATTGTCTAACTTTTAAAATCCTGTTCTTAGCAGTATACTTGAGAAAAGCTGATCAGAAAATGAGGGGTTTTTATAGTTAAAGAGCTCAAATAGTACTTAAAATGGGAAGTCTGCTTGTTCAGTATGAAATTGCCCTTGTGTCACCATTGTAATGTGTATTTGTCATCTGTGTCTGCCTGTCATCTATCTAAAGATATACTGAAATGTACGGGGAACTTAGGACATTGAAATATGATATAAACAGAAGTTTGGAATTGAGGCAGTATGTTAGACAGGGCATCCCAAATTGGAGCCAAAAAAAATGTGTATGTGCCACCTTCTATTCTGCATATGCCTCATAATTCCTACCAAACAACCGGAAGTATTTCTTGAGCTTTTTGCAGAACTGTTCATATTATTACACATATCAGTTCAATCAGATTCATTCATTTGGTTATATGCTGATAGGTGGAGAAATGTAGGGGAAGTGTGTTTGGTGTGCTTGGTAAATGAAAAGGGTTTTCATTTGGTTGAGATCATCACCCATGTGACAAATATGTCTGTACCACAGCCCACACATGCATTCATGTACATTTTTATATAAGTGTGAGTGGCAGGGCTCATCAGAACTGGGGAGGTGGAGTGCTGATGCTATATAATGGTTGTATTTAGACATTTTCATACATTCCGAGGGTGTAACATACCTATTACAAACTTTATACCAATACTCACATCTTCAGTTATGACTAATTTTTTTTTCAAGAGCATCATGAGTTATAATCCTTGTAATACTTGGTTTTCTTCTTACTCTGATAATATGTAAATGTTAATATAATATTGGCCTAGTCAGAAGGGGTTTTTTGGTGCCTTTGAGATGCACCAAAAACTTTGGGCAGTAGTAAGATGTTATGTGTATTACAAGGGGTTCCTTATAATCTAGGGTTGAACTGCATCAGCAGAAGGAGACATACCGTACAGTATGTACTTCGGATAACCTACAAGACCTTCATAGTTATGACAAACAATCTGTGTTTTTTCTGTCTCCTCCGTGTAAGGGTCATTTGAATTGCAGAGAAGATTCTCATTAGGTTTCTATTATGTATACACTGAGTGATCTTGTAGATAACATCTATGCTAGAAGTGCACTGTGCCAATTTCACCATCTTAAGATAAGAATCTGAACTTTGGTACAGGATCCTACAGACATGTCAGTAAAATGGCATTCACTGAACATTGCCAATTTCAATGAGAATAGTTTCTAGAAATTTTTTTTTTTGTCCTAGGCTGAAGTGCCAAGAAGAC